TACAAAATAATATAACTGTTACTTTAAAGTCCGGAAGGTCACATGGTAAATACACCAAATATGCCACTGAAAAATAGTCAAAGAATGAGACATGACATCTTTCGTTTCTAAACAACAAGCAGCTTTGAAGGAAGGACATTGGGACAAGAAGGGGAGGTAGTTACTTGTGAAAATTCAAAATCACTTTATCTGGAATTTTATGAAACAAATTATTTTCCAGAAGTATCTTTGCCATATTGTTTTTCAATTTCAGATAACATAAAGGAAAGATTTTTTTTTGCCCAGGATTTGTGAAATTTGCATGGAAAGACTCAGACTGTATTTTGAAGTTTATCCAGGTGAAGCAGAATTTGGCTATAATTATTAAAGATTATTTTTGATATTACTACTTCAGTAGCCGAAGGTTTTAGACTTAGTTGTTTTTTCTTCTTAATCAGCAGCAGGTAAGAAGTTAACTAATAGACTAAGATTATCTAAGGGTCCCTCTAGTCATTGACCATAACCACATAAAATGGGATATGTTTTTCCATTTTACCTATCTCAGTGCTTCCTGACTTGAAATCGGAGCATAATCAAAGGAATCGATGTGGACAGAACAGTGGTGGGCGTGTGGCCTTGTGAGTTATACATCTCTTAGCCATAAACACTAGAACACTGAATAGATAATAGATTCACCACATCCAATAAAATTTGAGTTTAGCGGGCTACTTGTGGCATTTTGTGGAATCCTGAGATGCCCAAATCTCTGACAACGTCCTATTTTCGATCTTTCCGTCTTTTCCCTTTCATTGAAATATTATCATGATGGTCAGACCACAAATCACCTTCCTGAAAAACACAAGTCTAGATAGGGAGAGAACTCTGACTTGATTTGTAGATGATGTGTCTGCTAATTCTCGAATAAGTCCAGGCCATAATTATAAATAGAACTTCTGGTTAGATCATAAGTTCTCAAGCAATCATTCTGTATTTTTAAATTTCTGCTTAAGACCTCCAGCATTGAGTCATCAAAGTGGCTTGGATTTATTAAGGGCCTTTGAATTAATTAAGTAATTAATAAATTGAGCTAGAATCTCTAAGCATGCAAATCTCTAAATAAGGTAACTGTGGCTTTCAACCCAGGTCTTGATATCTGTGTGGCTGATTTAACATTTGACTCAGTCCTTTGCAGGACCAAAGTCATTGTTTATGAATAATTTAGTTTCTTGTAGATCCTATGGTTGCTACTGCACATAATTAACTCCTATGAAAAATATAGACCTGGAATGAGAGAATAAAAAGCCTACAAACATGGTCAGCTAAGAAGAAGAGGAGAAGCAAGGATGTTAAATCAAATCAATCTGACTTGAAGGAATGGATCTCTGTTTTTCTCTTAAGCATTGTAACAGCCACGTTGGTTACTGCTTTAGGTTACGGGCACGTCAGCAATGCTTTCTTGACTGTACCTGGGCCTTTGACCTGAAACACTGGACTTCACTTAGATCATGAGAAGCAAATATAGAGCTGGAAGTTGTCTTAGAAACATTTTAGGCCAACCCACTTATTTAACAGGTGAGGAAACTGGTAGCTAGAGTTTAAAGGACCTGCATAAAGTGATACAGCCTATTTAGTGGCAGCAATGTGGTCTAGCCCTGGAAATTGAGTGCCCAGCCCACAGCCCTAGCAGCATTATTGTGCTTGAGCTGAAAAAGTAGTAAAAGAGATTTGTTCACTGAAGTACACATGAGGCGTTCATCAACGGCAAATCTGTGTTAGCAACACTGGGGATGGTAATTCAGAGTCATTGACATTTTTCCGTATGTGTGCAAAGTTCCATTGTGCAAGCAATGTCCTTTTCAGGCCCAGGCATGCAATTCAAAGACATTCAAAAGTGTGTCAATATGTTTTTAAATTGAGAGTCTTGAAACACGGGGTGGCAGGCTTATCCCCAAATCCTAGCCAGAGTCAATTTCTTATCAAAGTAAGTACACTTTTCATGTCAGCTCTGTGGTTAATTAAGCAATACATTCAAAAATCCACTGAACAGTTGCTAGTTGGACCTTAGACCATTTTGTCATTCCCTTTCTGGCTTGTCTTCCTTTACATAAAAAAAGTAAAATTTACTTTCCAGTCGATACACTTTTCTTGCAAAAATAAAACTTTAAAAAAAAAAGTAAAGAAAGGCACTTTGTATGATGTGTACAAATTTGTTTCTTTCTTGTCTACTCTAAGGAGATAGGGAAGTTACTAGAGGCAGGGCCAAGTCTTTCTGCAAGTGATGGGTAGCGATGTGCGGCCTCAAGAAAGAGCTAGGCAGATTTCCTCCATAGCCAAACCACTCCCTGGAGCTCAATGTCTTTTAACTCATAGGATTCTCCGATTCACTTGGGTCACTTCAGGACAAGGAGTTGAATTCCTTGACCTTGTAAGTGTGGTAAGCGATTGACTCCCTTTGGAACAAACCAGTGAAAGCAAGTTTTTGGTACGTAACTGCCGACCAAAATTGGTCTTAGGCACTTGGGAGAACGGAGAGTCTGTTAAATGACACAGCTGATATAACTTGTGCTCATATTGGAGTGCCTTATACCCATTTGTGAAAACTGACCAGAGAACATTTTGCAGTTTAGGTCATAAGCATCCATAAATCACCCATTGGCTATCCCCAGTTTCCATGTGCTTTGTAACTTGAATATTTAGGCGTTTGTTTATAAAAATATGACTTTTTATAATTCAGAGCATAGGGCTCATAAAAACCAACTGTGCAATGGAGGTTCATAATCCATGATGAGAGAAAAAAACAAACAAACTAGAATCAGTAGCCAGATATAAAAAAAAGAGCTATGGAACTGTTGGACTCAGCAAGGAATGAGCATGGCTTGATTCAGTAAAAGATCAGTTTTCTAAAAATTAGAGCCTCATTCAATATGTCTTTTTTATTTTTTAAATCTCATTCGTCCTCTTCTCTCTACACACATATTTGCACATAATCTCAGACTATGATTCTGCACCTACATAATTGATAAAATGCATGTGCAATATGTTAAAACCAACTGGAACTTAGGATTTAAAAGTGAAATGAAATGAGCACGTCATTGAAGAGTACTCGTATTTCTAGAATGAGGGGCAGTTATTGGTTAGCTTAATTAAGATACAAGGCATTTGTTCAAATTATCTTCGTTGGAAAGTAGTCAATGAGTCATGGAATCAAGGACTTGGAGTTTAAAAGGACATTAGAGATTATTTGCTCCAACATTTCCTTCAGAGGAAACTGAGGCCCAGAGAAGGGAATTGATCTGTCTAAAAAAACATAGTTAGGGCTAGAACCAGGGTCTCTTGACCCCCAGTCTGCATCCTTCCATTTGACTAGTTGTCTTCTTGATAGGAAATACGCCATACCATGAAAAAAAAAAAATCTAAATAAAGAGTGCTAATTGACCACAGAATTATAGTTTTGACTTTACTTAATGAGTGGCTAATTGGTGATTTTTAGGGATTTAGTTCAAACTAAGTCTTTAGCCATAATATTTTTTATATATGCTAAATTATATGTCAAAAGCAGATTTTTTTAAGTTTGCAAACAGAGTGATTGCTATACATCATGGAGAAGGTTTACTCTGTATTGGCTTTGAAGGTCAGTCTTTGGTCAATGCCTCTCAGGGGGAATATATTCCCTGGCCCTCTTGGGGTTGTGTGTAATTTTGCAGGTCGTTCTCCACCATTATGTGAATCTTAAGCCACTAATAGATTTTCTAAAAATTAGTCCTTCTCCTTACGTACAGTCCTGTTTGGTGCAAGTCAAACAGACTTGACCTGTACTTTCTGAGAGAGGATTGTTTCCGTGAACTAAAATAACCTTTAGTTATAAATGGTTATCTAGGGCAGTGCTTCTCAAACTTCAATGTGCACAGGAATCATCTGAAGATTTTAGTAAAATGTGGATTTTGATTCTGTAGGTCTGGGGCAAGGGGGCCGAGACTGCATTTCTCAGCAGCACTCAGGTGATGCCGATGTGTCTGGTCCTCAGACCATACTTTGAATAGCAAGGATCTAGGGGATTGAATGAATTTGGGCAACTTTCCCAAATGTTCTCCTCATTCCTAAGATGTTGTTTACATATTGGGAGAATACAGCCTCAGATCAATTACTTTTACAATTCTGGAATTACTTTTGCAAGTACTTTTGGAATTCTGAAAGTGTTCACTTTCAAACATCAGGCCACATCTGACTCCAGTTCCTATCAACATGGGCTTGTTGGGGTGGAATATTTAACTCACAGAGGTGAGCTCACGTTCTCTGTGTGAGCAGCCATGGAGAATGGATTTGGCATCAGGCAAAAAAGAAAAACAGAGGGAGGCAGTTCAATGAGTCATGGATGCTATCTTTAAAATGGAGATCCAGGTTTCTGACCACGCTAGGGAGCCTTGTCCTTGGAACTGACTTGGAGATTCTCACTACCATACCCTGGCCTTTGTAGCTGTTCCCACCACTCCACAGATGCCTGGTTTCTTGGAACTTTTATTTGGACACATCTGACATGAGTGCTGTCTCTGCCTCTGCCAAGATTTTGCAAATGGATCTACTCCAGAGAGATACTTACTCCTGGCTTTGCTTAAAATTTCTTTGCTGCCCAAGATTGCTCAGAAAAACAAAACAAAACAAAAACCCTCTCTCTGAAACAGTATGTTAGGCGTTACCACTCTCCTTTTTCATGGCTGCTTTGTGAAGATTCACCCAGAGAAGAGCAGAAGCCCCAGAGTAGCCCAAAACTCATAGGTGAAGAAATATCTGATCACTGGAGAGCCCTGAAACTCTAGGTTGGCGGTTGTTGTTTAAAGTAACCTGGAGATAGAAATTGAACACTGTCATCAGCTTCATATTCCTCAATGGGCTTTGGGTTAGTATGGCATTTTACTCCACAAACAGGGACTGCATATACTACTATGTACTGTAAATACTCATTATAACCTCACAGCAGAAAATACCAAGGACCCACTGAATACGTAAACAGCTGTACTGGGAAGATAGAAAATAGTCTTTTATTTTACCTAAGTGATAGAAAAATAGTCTTCAAAAATACATTGTTAAACTTACGGGTTTATATTAAAGTAGAATTTGTATGTACAGTAAGGCAGTATTTCCATTAGCATCCTGCTGTGATTATCTTTTAAATTAAAGTTAGTCTTTTGGGATCTTTTTTTTCCACTAAGAGAAGACTAGGGTGTATAATAAATTATCTATCGTGCTGAAATAAATCAGGAAAACATTTTGGAAGGATTCTCCACATGAATCTTATTTGCCTCTCATGTAAGAAAATTTTACTTTCCAAAACTATATTCTCTAGAGGCTTTGGAATGAAATACAATTTAGGGGAGAAAATCCATGCTTAACAAGTTCAAACTATTTTCAGAAAAATTGGAGGCATCATTTTTACTTGCATATCATCAATGCATCACTAAGGTATTAGGAACCGATGTAAACAATTTTTTGGGTGTTCTAGAATGCATTCTTTCTTTAAATGTGTCTTAGTTGGTTCATTCTAATAAAATGCAGAGGAATACAAAGGTTAAGAAATTGGTTTTCATGGCACTTTTCTTATATCTATCATCTTCCTGTGGTAAACAATTTTGACTATTTCATTTCTTTCTGTCATGTGCTAAACCATGAAAGCCTTTTCCAGAGGATATACCTATTGGCACTGTCCGTCAAGAATACTAAGCAGTGTGCTTTTATTTCATTGAACATATCATTTTATAACTAATAGCAAAAAGTAAATCTACAAATCACAGTGAGGAAACAAAACAATTTGTTCTGGAATTAGCTGTTGGAGAAAGAGGCAGCTGGTTGAAAATGGAGCATGAAGAGGAGTGAACTGTGAGTTTTAGTAGTGTCATTCTAACCACATTCTTGAGCATTCTCTAGTAGATTGCATTTCATGTATTCTGTAGTGTTACCTGAAGAAAAATCACATTTTAACCAATCCTTTCATTAATCAAGCTGTCATTGAAAGGAGTGCATAAAATCTGCAGGATCCAGGTAATCCAACCCGCCTGGCTGGAGTCTGCAGTTGCTTGGTGTCGCGGTGAAGGAGGCCAGGTCTTTCTGCAGAAGGGGCGGCGGAGCCTCCTTGGCTGGTTCTTCAAACAAAGCCAGGTTTTGAGCTCTCGGATCCTGCGTTAACACGAGGATGTGGTTATCCATCACCCGGGACACCTTAGCGTACTCCTTACTGTGTTCAGGAGCGCTGGGTTTCTCTGTCTGGTCGCTGTTCTCTTTCTGTTTCAGGAGAAATGATAGTGCTCCATCTTTGTTGACCTTGTGAATCTCCACGTAATCCAAGGGTTTAGCAGAGATAAAGGGAGTTTTCTCCTGGGGCAGCAGCCATGCTGTGTCTTGGTCAGTCTTGGAAGGAAAGCTTTCCACCTCTCTCTGCTCGGCTGCCTTTCCCTCCCCTCCAGTCTCAATGGTTTTTGAGGATTTTAAAACATGTTTGTCTGTTTTGTCCAACAAAGTGGCTGATGCACCTGCTGTGCCCATGGCCAGCTTACCTACATCAGCGATGTTGTGGTAAGAAGATCTGGGGTTGTGTTGGCTGGGGGGCTGCGGCAAAGGCCATGTTGAAGATTTGGATCCATCAACGTGGAAATAGGGGATTTTGCCCTCCAAGCTTGTGGGGTCCCAGGTGCGGGTAACATTTGTTTCGGGATTCTTTGCCTTCTCAATGCCCTCAGGGGTGTGGAATGTGGAGGGCTTTGCCTGGGGTTCCTCACACTTTTCTGACAAAAGAGAAGGGCTGTCGCAGCTGCCCCGGCCAGAGTCACTGTCAGGATCCAGGTGTGTGGGCTTCAGACCTTGATCCAGGTGTTCTTTTGAATGGGCTGGCATCAGCTGCTGGTCCTCGCTGTCATCCACTTCTAAAAACTCCACCAGCAAGTCCTCACAGTCAGAGGTGGGAGGGAAGTCTTGGCACCCCAGGGCACTCAGTAGTTCTTCAGACTTGCCCTTCTATTAAAACACAGACACAAGGAGAGATGGCTGTTAGCTTCACAACATTCCAAATCAGCATTGCAGCCCAGCCCGAGTTCATGACCACAGGCCTGTGGGATGTGGTAACAGCCTACCAGAATCTCCCAAACTTCAGACATTTGTGTACCAGGCTATCAATAATCATCTCCTGGACTACTATTCATCTAATATTTTCCTTTAAGTCAATTCATGATTTTAACTTAGTCTCTCGCTAAGCAATAATGAGTTCAATGGGCAAGTAGTATATAATATAATAAACATGTAACTACTAAATAAGAAAAGCTTGTGAAACATCTAAAACCACAGTGCTCATGCGTGCATGTGGCACTTGGGGACTCACTGGCTCTGTTACATGGTTGCTGGCCTCCTAACCTCCTCCACCCCTTTCTCGAGTCTGGCAGTGGTAACTTGATTCTTGTCTCTTCCTTCTCCTCTCCCTCCTCCACTTCCTGCTTGTCCCTTCCCCTCCCCTTCCTTTTCCTCCTATGCTACTTTTGCCCTCTCCTTCGGCTCCATTTCCGCTTCTTCCTCCCCCTCTCTTCCTGCTACCCTATGTTTTCTCCCTTTCCTCCTATTCCTCTTCCTCCTCCTTCTCCTCTCTATTCTTCTCCTTCTCCCCCTCCTTCTTCCTCCTGCCTCCTCCTCTTATTTTCCACTCTTCTTCCTGATCCTCTGACTTAGATCAGGTACCAGTGCCTAAATCTTGACTCCATCACTTATTAAACGGTATTGACTTCAGCAAGCTGCTCTATAATCCTCACTTTCTCCATTTGTAAAATGGTAATAATATACCCATCTGGGACAGTCCTTTTGAAGATTAGAGGTAATGAGAGTAAGAGTACAAAAACATTTTTTTTGACACAAAGGGTAGTTATTTTATCATTAAGTCTCTGTGGCTACAAGGTCGAATTTCAAGCTAGACAGTAGTTAATTTACTTAGTTGAGACGTTCGTGCTGGTTGTTTCAAGGTCAGTGCTAGTGACTGGAGAGTGAGGTAAGAGCATTGGATCAGGAGCCCAAATTCCCAGGCTCTACTGCCTGCCCTCATATTTGCAACCAAAGTGAACACAGTCAAGCCAAGTTCTCTGGGGCTCACTTTTCACATTTTTGAGCTGTTGGCCTCACAGTGGCTGGGTAAAGGGATATAATATGCAGTTCACTGTTTTTATATACATCAGTATTAAGTTTAAGATCAAATGGAAATTATATATTTCAACGTGGAGAGAAATTTAAAATGTTCTAACCCATCCTTTCATTTGAAACACTTAAATTTAATTCCCTTTTGACTAAAGTGGGCCCTGGCAAACATCAGCTCACTGTACTGATCCAGTGTCAACTAAGTGCTCAAAATGAGCAACAATTGCAATAGAATGGTCTGTTACTATGGCCTTATGTAAGGAATATTCAAGTGGAAACTTTTACCAAAGTATGATGGAGGAGGTGGTGGTGGTTCTTTGTTTTGTGTTAATCAAAATAACAAAATTAATAAAAATCAATTAATCAAAATTAATCAAATTAATCAAAATTCACCCTCTTTCTAAATTATGTGCACAAAATGTTTATCTCTGTGCTTCTAAACAGACTTGGTAAATCTAGCAAGTGTTACTATGTGTTTTCATGTTTTCTTGGCTTTCTCTCCTTGCCCTCTGACATTTGGTGCCTGATGGTAAGTACCCTCATGCCTCACACATCTTTCTAGAAACACACATGTGGAAGAGGAAGGACAGCTAGCCAAGGATGACTGACCTGGCCAGGCTGAATTGATGGGGATTGTGTGCGCATGTGTAAAGATAATTATTACAAAGCAGTGAGTCATACTACGTTCTCCACCTCTGGCACTTACCTCTAGCAGATGAGTATCAAATCCTTTTATTTTTGGCCCAGGAACTGGTGGAAGGATGCAGGACACCATGCTATAAAATAATTTGTGAGGTAGGATAAATGACTCATTTTCTCACTTTGTAATGTTTGAAAGATTAGTATTATCTCCAAAGAGCTGCTACATGGACTATGGTAGATACTATTTAGAATTCTGGGGACATATGAAACTAACAATCAATGGTGAAGACAAGTAATAACTATTGAGGCCTACACCAAAATTAGCTCTGGTTAATTGAGGAGGCTAATTCTGAAATTAGTGGATTATTTGGACTATTTGATTCTCTTGATTTTTAGCTGCTCTTGACAGATTTTTACTATTTTATAACTGTGAGCCTCAGTTGGATGAAAAGAGCACCAGCTTCAAATGAATCCATTCTGCTACTTTTGCTAGCACCGATAAAGATTTTTGATGGATGAATACATAGCAGCTAATGGCTAAAATGAGGTGCTTTAATTATCTCTAGGTGTCCATCATCTTTGTAGTGTCTTTTTTTACCCTTATTCCTGACAACCATGATTGGGAGGTGGATAAATAGACAGTGAAGTACCTATAGCCCTTCAAAGCCACTGCCCAGACCATAATCAGACAGAAGACAGCAGAAAGAACGGCCACAAAGATCCACACGGTGGTATCTTTCATGGTGAAATCTAAAAAGCAAACAGCCAGAAAGCTTTGATCATATACAGCATCACTAAAAACAAATAAACAAAACTAATGAATGAAACTTTTGAACACAAGAGTTTTTTTTTCCCCCTACCTACACCTTCTTCAATTTGAACAGTAATCCAAACAGAGAAGCATCAATGACAGGTTTAATTTTTTCCAATATTATTAAATTCGAGTATGTTGCATATATTTTACAAACTTCAAAATCTAAAAATTTCAAAATTCTTTTACACATTATTTTATTTAATCCTTAAAAAGGAAGTCCAAGACCACATGATCAGTTGCAGGAATAATAATAAAAGCTAACATCTATTAAGTTCTTACTAAAAGCCATCAATGGTGTTAAGCTCTTTACATACATTGCCTTGTATGTAAAGAAGAGGAAACTGAGGCTCAAAGAGTGATTTACCGATGGGCAGGTAACTATAAATTTGCAGTCTGGGATTTGAACCCAGGCCTCTGCCTCTAGACTCTGTGCTTTTATTTAGTAAGAGCCAGGGCTGGACCAGATGCATGTGTAAGTCTTACACAACCCACAGTTCAGTGCTCTTTCCAGTATGCCAAGCCAGGGCAAGCTCTGACACTTTGGCCAGGCACGTTTCCAGAAGAGCTAAGCATCGCCACTTAGTTCTAGGCAAGACCTCTAACTTCAGAGAGCCTCAGCTTCCTCACATTTAATTTCTAATGGTAACTATATTCTCTTTCAACATCTGAGAGGGTTGGGAGGACCAAACAAGGTAAAGATTTTGTAGACTGTAAAGTGCTTTAGAAATGCAAGATGAATCATTCTCTTGTGGAATGCAAGCTGCCATGTTCAATGGCACTTAGCCAGAATTGAGTGCCTCTTATATACCGTGCCTTGACTAAGAGACCAACATGTAATCGACATCAGAGACTGAAAATCAGTGTATGCCTTTGAGATGAGATTCCACCTTACAAATTCTGGGAGAACTAGATGATGACCTTGACTAAATAATAAGGATGTGGCAGATGGGGAGGGCAGAACGACTGACACTCAAACCCTCTGAGACATGCCAAGCTCATGCCTGCAGCCTTGTTTTAGAAACTGGTCCTCACTGACAGTGACCCAGGGAGCAGTGCTACACTTCCAAATGTCTTTGTGTCAGGTGGAGAGATGATAAAGCCACCTCTACTCATTCTTCTGGCTAAGGGTCAAAATAGTTTCTGCATTAGTAGTTACTATATGCAAATTTACTAAATTCATTCTGTTTTAAAAATATTTAGGAATTTAAGCAAAAGGTAGTCGAGACGCTCACCATTAGCTATCTGGATGGAGCTCTCTGGGCTCCACTCACTCCAGAATCCATGATCTGGCTTGCAGCGAACCTGGACAAGGTATTTCTGTCCTGGATATAAGCTGAGAATCTTAAACTGAGTCTGCTGCCCAGCGAAATGAATCTAAGGAGGAAGAAAGAAAACAGAAGTCACTCTGATCTATGTTATAAAGAACGAGATTTTTTCCTTAGATAATAAACTATTAGAGGAGTGAGGCCAAATGATTAGACTTAGTAGATACCCTGTTCTCACCATTCCACCCTCTCAGCGCATCCCTTCCTCCTTGTAAACATTGCTCACATAAAAATTAACAAGTTTTCTTTCTGTCTATTTGGAATTCTATTTCAGAAAGACAAATATTCTGTTTCCTACTCCTCACTTTTTAAATTCTATTTTATGGAAGGCAACTGGTAATAAAATTGGAAAATTGTTATTTTGTACACTCTAATGAAGTAATTGATTAAAGGATTATTCATGGGTATAAAGCCACTAGGTGGAAGAGAACAGGGCATTCATGTATGTTAATGCAATTGTGCACAAATTAAACCTGACTCTACAATCAAGGGATCAGGCTGTGATCTCCCTAATTCAGGGGTCAGTTTTAGCATCATTTATAGTAGGTCAACCAGATGGTGTGTGTCTCCTCATATGATGCAATATGAAGCATATAATATCACCTCTGAGGTATTCTTGCCAAAAATTGTTTAGCCTGAACCTAATCAAGTCTTTAGATCTAATGTCTGGCTACAGGAAATACAGGGGCAGAGAAATTAGCTAAATGACCTCACAAAGAACTAATTAGAAAAATGCAGAAGGTGGGACATTCCATGGGACAAGTGGCCCAGTCTCCTGAGCACATCAACATTGAAGGAATATAACAACCAGCCACAATGTGTGGTCCTGGAGTGGATTCTGGTTTGGTCAAACTAGCTGTCAAAGATATTTTTTGAAGCAATGGGGGAAATGAAAATTTAAATTGGCTATTAAATGATATTAAGAAATTTTCATTAATTTTCTATATGTGATCTTATTATTTTGGCTATGTTTGGAAATGTTCTCTTTTTAAGAGAGACCTATACTAAAGTATTTAAGAGTAGAATAACATAATGCCTATAGTTTACTGTATTATGTCTTTACAATGAAGTATTTTAAAGTGAATAAAAATGCCATTGACCATGGACTGGTTACACTGAGATTTTTTTCCTCCCACTTAGTGCCATTTAAGTACTCTTATAGGTGTCTAGATCTAAGATATTCTGAGGGAGGTAGGTTGGAAATCTTGCAGAAGAGGCTGTTCAGTGCAAGGAACTAACCAGCCCCAGGAGAGCTGTGGAGATGAGCCCCCATCAATCCCAATGGAGAAGGCCCTTCCACATCTGGGTGGGTCACATCAGCATCAGGAGGGCAAGATAGTGGCCCAATAATTAGGAGGAATGACCTACTCTCAGTTGTGAGGGCTTCATCTTTGCCAAAGGACATGGTTCCTTACAAAAGCTTCTGGTTGACTCACCTCCCACTCAGCTGATTTCTCGGGTTTTAATCGAATTTCATACTGGAGTGTGAGCCAACCGGATCTTACATCAACCAGAGTGGGTGGAAGCCATTTCATCCACAGATAGGGTTTTCTGTCTTCTGGCTGTTTTAATTCCAAAGTCAGGTTCACAGGAGGGTCTGGTTCAACTGTAGATATGAAAGAAACTCCATATTTAGTAAAAGTAGTACTTGAACACAGAACTATACAACTGAGAGGCAGCTCTCTCTGCTGTTTCACTCCACCACGGTTATGAGACACTTTGCATTTGATCATTTGCATTTGATTTGCTTGATCAATTGAGTTGGGATTAGGTTGAAGAAAGTGAGATGCCTAGGGCGCAAATTTTAAGGAGGTACAAATGCCAATAAGCACATGAAAGATGCTCAATGTCATTAGTCATTTGGGAAATGCAAATCAAAACCACAATGAGATACCATTTCACACCCACTAGGATGGCTAGAATTCAAAAAATGAAAATAACAAATGTTCGCAAGAATGTTGGAGAAATTGGAACCCTCATACATTGCTGGGGGGAATGTCAAATGGTACAGCTGTTGTGGAAAGTTACTCAAAAAGTTAAACATGGAATTATCATATCACCCATCAATTTCACTCCTAGGTATATACACTCCAAAACTGAAAGCAGGTGTTCAAACAAAAACTCGTACATGAATGTTCATTGCAGCACTATTCACAATAGCCAATAAGTGGAAACAACCCAAATATCCATCAACTGATGAATGGATAAACAATACCTATAAAATGAAACATTATTCAGCCATAAAAAGGAAGTACTGATACATGCTACAACATGGATGAATCTTGAGAACATTATGCTAAGTGAAAGAAGCCAGACACAAAAGACCCACATACTGTATGATTTCATATATATGAAATATCAAGAGTAGGCAAATCTATAGAGACAGAAGACAGATTGTTTCAACCACCAAAAGTGGTTGCTTTGGGGCTGGGGTAAGGGGGGGAATTCAGAGTAATTGCTTAATGGGTATGAAGGTTTCATTTGGAGTGATACAAGTATTCTGGATAGTGGTGATGATTGCAGAACATTGTAAATGAAGTCATACCACTGAATTGCACAGTTTAAAATGGCTAAAATGGTGAATTTTATGTTTTATATATTTTACCACAATTAAAAAATATTAAGGAGGCACTTACTCTCAGCTTCCTTCAAGTACAGGTCTGTGAGTATCTGTCTCCTTAAGAGTGAGATGTCTAGGGCGCTGGCTTACCTTACTCCAGTCTCAGTCCTGCTTATCAGTAATGTTTTCTCTATTCGTTTATTACCTCCTCAAATCAGGCTCCACACCAGGTGGGATAAGAGCGAGTGTAACTACAGTGTGCTTGGCATTATAATCTATAGTTGCCTAAAAATGAACTTTAGAAAATGTGCCACTAATCCTAATATTTTGTGTTACTAAGTAAATACCTATGAAAGATTACTTTATTTTTTATTTATTTATTTTTTTGGTGAGGAAAATTAGCCCTGAGCTAAGACCTGTGCCAACCTTCCTCTATGTTGTATGTGGGACACCACCACAGCACGGCTTGATGAGCGGTGTGTAGGTCCACGCCTGGAATCTGAACTTGTGAAGCCTGGGCTGCCGAAGTGGAGCCAGCGAACTTACTCACCACGCCACCAGGCCAGCCCTGAAAGATTATTTTACGTGTACTTACTAAATAAACATCAGTTATTTAATATAAGTTTTAAGTTAAACATAATGCTGAGAAAAGCCTCTGATCAAAAGATATTTATACAAAAGTATAGGTAAAATGTTTGGGATGAATCTGTTAAGCAAAGTTTCTCAACCTCAGCATTGCTTGTATTTCGGGCCAAATAATTCTTTGTTGTGGGGAGCTGTCTTATGCATTGTAGGATGTTTAGTGGCATCTCAGACGTCTACCCATTAGATGCCAGCAATACCCCCTGCCCTCCTCCCTGGGTTGCAATAAACAAAAGTGTCTCCTCCTATTGCCAAATATCTTGTGGGAGGCATAAGAGCCCCCGGCTGCGAATCACTGCTATCAAGTGTCTTCAACATAGCTAAGTATTACTCAACGGCAAGAACAAAATGAAATCTGTTTCTGAGAGATGACCTGCCAATGTTGTCTTTCCATGCTGCAGGTTTCTACTGGTTGAGAGTCAAGTGGATAGAGAGTCTATCACAGTTCACACTGATTTTTTTTTTTTTATAATTTTATTTATTTATTTCCTTTTCCCCAAAGCCCCAGTAGATAGTTGTATGTTGTAGTTGCACATCCTTCTAGTTGCTGTATGTGGGACGCAGCCTCAGCATGGCCGGAGAAGCGGTGCACCAGTGCATGCCCAGGATCCGAACCCAGGCCGCCAGTAGCGGAGCGCGTGCACTTAACTGCTAAGCCACGGGGCCGGCCCCACACTGATTTTTAAATGAACTTCCACGGCCTGTTGCCAACACTGTATGCTTCAGGGTTATATGAGCATAACATGGACACTTTCTTTGTTATTTTGAAAAATATGGTCCAACACATTCTTCCACCAGAGAATTTGTTCTCTGGAGTCAATGTGAATTTGATCACTCAATGATTTCACTTTTCCAACCTACTACTCTTCAGTGATCCCATGTTTTGTGGATCACATTCATTATAGCAGTTGCTCATTTCAGAACTTCTCTTGCTTTTACTATTTTGCCCTCAAATAATAAATATTTTAACATTTGAGGACAAGGCAATTCAAGAAAGAGCCCACAAAAAAGGAATTACTTGGCATTTACCATCTTAAAGGCTTCATATCTCAAGTAAATTTATATGACTGGAATTTATTTTATCCCTACTTGTCAGTGGGGTTACCTTTTTGATTTTCTTAAATTAACATCAAATTCAGTTTCCCCCCTCATGTTCATTGCAATGATTTGCTGGGGGGAGAAAATATTCAAATGTGTAGCAGTTGGTGTTACAAGCTTTTCTAGTTTTTAAGGCTCGACCACTGATAACATGCCAATGAGATAACATGCAAGTGAATACTTGAGGGGCCTAGCCTGATTTTCCCTGTTGGGTGGTGTTAGGTAAATTAGGAAGATGTGGGTGATCTTGAACCTAATTAGCTACCCCCTAGATTATTACCCAAGGTGAGGACTGAACCCAGTCTATTGTTCTAAGATTCCCTTTGTCATCCCTGCTAAACCATACAGGCCACTACAGTTATGCTCGATGGCACTACAGCTCAACGTTGAGCATGCAAAGCAAGAAGCAGCTCTCAGGCTGACTTTGTTTTACTTTGCTAATGACTTCTCCAAACACTGTACCTGTGTTCTTGGCCTTTAGCCTGCTGCTCAAGTAGCACTATTTATTCCTCAAATTCTTTATCTTTAAATAATAACTCCAGTTGCTAAGAAGCATATGTATGTCGAGAATTGAATTTGAGGCAAAGCAGTTGGTGTAATTCCTGTGAGTGTAGAAGCAGATGACCTCCTTCTAAGAGCTGCTACTCCGTGGAACACCTGTCTTCCCCGGGGAGAGAGAAAAGAAATCCCAACTTGCCAAGGGAGAAGGGCACATCGGTTGCAGGAGGAAGGCTAGAGGGAAGGACTGGTAAGGAAAGAATAAATAGAACATTCCTTCTGGGTGCAAGAGGACGAGAAGAAGGGTCAAGGGAAAGCACAGAAACACAAGGACCCGAAGTGCCAGTGCTACTGTCCTGAATGACTAGATAAAAATTGGTTTAAAATATTCAGTTGACAAGGATATTGTGAATTTTCTCATCTTTCCTTTTGGGGATCCATCCAAAAGCCAAGAAGACTAAACTGAGCTTGACTACTGGTAAATCCATAAAGAAGTAACGAATTCCTCGCCTACTGCCCTTCCCCTTACCTATGTATGTCACGTCCACATAACGCGGATCTGAGGAACTGCTTCCCATCTGGTTCGTAGCGTTTACTGTGATGATATATATTGTCCATATGGAGGTGTGCTTCTTGTTAAAGTAACAGGAGTTGGGGCCACCGGTTTTGTAGTCCGGACATTCATGGGTGACTGTCTCTCTGCAACGAGTAATATATCCAAAGTCAGACAGTAGTAAAAAGAATCTAGATTTTTTTTTAATAGATCTATATGGCTGGCTTTTGGGGATCAGGCATTCCAAATGCAAAACCAGAGCTGAAGAACAGCTCCCCAATCTTCTGTGCCATGTCCGCTCCAAGCTGCCTATGTCAGCTGGGATTAAGACAGGGAAGCGAGTGCTGGAGAAGTGGGTGGGAGGGTCACATTAGGGCCTCAATGACTCTGCTTCTCATCAACTCTTGCCTTCCATAGGTTTCTGTGAACTATGTGATATATGTTCCCTGCCAATAAACACTTGAGCTTTCAACGGTCAAGGCACCACCATACCCAGGGAACTGCCATTGGGTCATCTCAGGAAATAGGACTTTCTCCTGCATACACACAATGGGGGGCAATGCACAATACAGCATTTATTGCACCTATGTGTTGCATTGTGTTTCATTAAAAAAAACGCTAAAGGGGGTACACACTGATGTCAGTGTATTTCAGATTGCACTGTCAGCCACAGAATGAAGTGACTGTGAAAGGACATGTTTCAGGCCCAAGAAGCTCATTAGGCTGCTCACATTTAGACTGACGGGCCTCAACGCAAGACACACCACACAGGTGTGGAGGCTTATTCCATTTTGGTTGGCTGTTTGAGTTCCTGAAATCTGTTTACATAATGCCCCTTTAGGGCCCAGAAGGGTTGACAGCTTTGTGTACAACAAAGTGCATTCATTGGGAAGTGGGCCAGCTGTTGCTACCAGTAAATATCTTCATCACCAGGGAAGGATACAGCTCTCCCGGGACTCCCAGGAGGGTCTCACTGTGAGTATAACAAAATCCTCACCCAGAGATGACCTTGTTTAGTCCACACTGCAACTTTAGCTCCAAGTATGCCCTCTGGGAGACCATGGATCCTGGATCAGCAATTTGCTTTCCATATAGGGCTCTTTATTTTCTTAGACATGAAACAAGATTGAAAAGCTAGTGTACTATGGGTTGTCAAGAATTACATGATAATCCCCTTATGTTGCAAAGGTAATGATTACTGAAAAAAAATTAAAGATGACAGAAGGTTTACAGATGAGTATCTAAAATTAACTATCATTTAGGAAACCTATATGTGACCTTGGGCTGCAACCTAAGCTTGCAACAGGCAATGGGAACATTGCTATATTGCATTGCCGCAGTGGCAGGTGAGCTTACGCACACTGAGAGAGCTCCTCAAGGACATTAACAGGAAAATGTGGACATGGTGTTCAAGCCCCTTCCCCTAGTGGTATGAGCTTTATTAGTGTCAATCCAGGGAAGTGTGGTAATGCTAACTTGGAACCAGGATCCCTTTGGTCCGGAGAGTGAGAACACTCGTGTGAGGCTTGATAGGAGAGAAGAGAACTTTTTACCCTTCCTTGTGGTAAGTCAGCGTGTAATTGGTAGGAAGTCCTCCCTGGGCCCCGGGCTTCCACCAGCAGGTGAATGTTTCCTTTTCGGGAGAACGACATTTAATGATCTCAGGTTTTCCTGGAGGCGACTGTCCTAGAAAAAAGCCAGAAGACGCTGGAGTCAATATTAAGGTGCACTCAACCATTTGACCATTCTGCTTGTGATAGAAGCGATTGATGAGACCAGGCCGGCGATGAGGTCTCGGGGTGAGTATGCCTACGGGTGAGGTGCTCAGAAATGCCAAAGCATTGGCATCCAGCGACATTCCTCTGTGGGCTGCCCTGATGTTGGCAGGACTAGGAGAGAGCTTTGCCGTGGTGCGTGTGTGTGTGCGTGTGCTGGGAGATGGAGATACCAGCAATCTAAATCAGTGACTAACTGTAATATTTCAACAAAGAGTGAGCATCAAGAATGAGATGGATACATACGGATTGAAGAGTGTGTGGCCCTTCTGTCATCCCACGGAGTCTATAAAGCTGACACCCTCCCACAGCATAAAGGTGACCATAAAATGAATTCTCCCCCAGGCACAAGTGTCTTCCTGAGGACGATTTGCTGATACAATGCTCTCTGGCCATTCTCTACTCTGCTCGCTCATCTCCATCTCTCTGCCAATCCCACACAGTGAACTCAATCTCCGATCTTTTGTTCTCTCACTGTATCTGCTTCCTGCCCCTCTCCCCTCCTCTCTCCTTTCCTTTCTTTTTTCTTCACTTTTCCTTGATTCCATTCAGCTTTGACCTGTGACCCAGTCTCACCGCTACCTTCCCATTCTCCTGCCTCCCTTTCTGAATCTTGGTTTTTAGTCTCTTTTCTCTTATCTCTCCCCCTCTCTCCTTGGGCCTTTATGTGGTGAGGTGGCAAAGGGCTTCCTTGTAATTCTATGATTCTGTTTGGGGTAGGAGGCATGGTAAGGTGAGGGAGTGGATAGCTGTTCTCCTGGTTACGAGCTACGAGGATTATCTAAGAGCTGTATCCAGGCCCAGCTGGAAGACAGAAGGTCTGAGTGGGGTACATGTGGAAAACACAACGTCAAGGGGATGAAATTTTTTAGTTGTCCCATCCCCAAAGCTCTTGGAGAGTGGGCCCCCTCTTCTCTTCCTTCTCTGTCAGGGCCAAAGAGGGAAAGAGTGGCCCTGGGAGTTTGCCCTGATGCTGCTGGGCTGGCGAGCCCAGACCCCCATCCACTTAACCCCAGTTGATCCTCCTTTCGGCTGAACTGGATGTTCGAGCGCTTAGCTCAGGAAGTCAGGAGCAGAAAGGAGAGTGAGCAGGCGTCGGTCTCAGCACCTCAGAGGGGATCTCTCAGTTTTCTCCCACACTTGTCCCCCCACCCCTCGTGCTGGGTCCTAGGCAAAAACTTCCAGCTGATCACCAGATCAGAAAGAGCAAGTTTGGAGGAGAACATGGATGGGAAGAGGGGCCACCAAGCAAAACTGGCCAGAAAAAAAGAATTTAATGGAATGGTATGATTCGGCGCACAGGCTGGGGCCGAGGACACCAGGCTGATAGTGTCAGCTGCAGCCGAGCTACACTCCAGCTCCCAGCCCCCCTGAAAACCTTTAAAGAATTACAGAAAACCTTAAAACTCCATGCCGGCCAGCCCTGGGCTAGCTCTGCCAATATTTGTAACACTGCTTGTCCTCCAGGGAAAATTTCTTCAGGATAATTTCACAGATTGAAGCAATTTTTTTGTTTGTTTGTTTTTTGTTGTGGCTGGGAAGGAGTGCTGAAGTAGAAAGAAAAGTTTATTAAAAAAACCCCTAAACCCCTATGGCTCAATAATGAGCGTACGCAGAAGCCAGTTAAGGCAATTGTCGGTGATTTGAGTACTTAACGTTTCCCTATGGATTATCCTGATCTCTGCTTTCCTTTTTCTCTGTCTCTGAAGCTCGTCTCTTTCACATTTCACTGGTTATTAGTAGTACATCCAGGAAAGTCAAGAGAGCAGGGTAAAGTTGGGAAATTACAAGCAGTCAATTGTTCCTTTTGCCCATTTGAGAGGAGACAGTTAAAGTTAATGGACTGTCTCATTATCTCATAAAATGCACACAAACAGAGGGACAACCACATCGGCACCATACACACAGGTACACACACCTATGTCCACATAGAGCCCACATGACACACACACACACAGAGCTATACACAGATGCATACTTACAGAAGTACACACTGGCACACTCACTCTAGTTTAGCTGTGAACTTCGTTTCCTCCATTAACATAGATAATAGAGTGGGCTGTACCAGTTCCCCGCCATGTAACAGCATCTCTTATATCTCTTTACGGTTTTGCAAAGATTTTTCACATCCATTATTTCATTTGAGGTGGAGGAAACATCACTATCCTCACTCTGAAACTGTGGAAACTCAGAGACATTAGATAATTGGCTCAAGCTTATACAGCTCGTAACCGACAGAACCTGGGCTGAAAGGCTGGTTTTGTCGTTTGTAGAGCTGTTTCCCTGCACTCCCAGAATGAGGATGGAAGTCAGAGCATAGAGACAAGATTTTGCATTAAATGTATTAATTCTTTTGCATTAATTTGAAAGCTAAAAATATTGTAAATAATTTCATAGCAGCAAATGACATGGACATTTTCATTTCTCTTAACTGCATTGCAAGAGGACTGTGATGGACTCTCCACCCTCTTGATAAACACCCAGAAAATTAAAGGTAGCAGGACAGTCTCTTACTTACCATTCAGAAGGTTGATGTTGAGAAAAAGTAGCAAAATGAAAACAATTGTGGATGCCACATTTTCCTTCATGTTTGCTCCCTTCTCTTTCTACAGGAAATGTATCAGGTTCACTGAAAGAGAAGGCATCAGGCAACTTTTTTGAAATGGCTGTCTGGTCAGGTACATGCACCACTTTATTCTGGGTGTTTGCAACTGATTCTTGCTCCTTGCTTAATGTGAATGACAAAACAGGAGGAAAGGAATGTAGGAAAATGTAACATGGTTGGATGGCTTGGCTCAGAAGCATCGATGCACACATGCTGGGAAAAATTCCACCACCAGAGGTCATCAGATGACAGCGTTCAAGGGCAGCCACGTGGCAGTGGGCTCCTTTGCACACACCCCAAAGAAAAATTGTTCCCTTTCCACCTCGCAGTCAATGAACAGTATATCACCCATTTTATGTGACATAGATTGTATGCCCTACAAGAGAACTGTTCTGGGAGGGCTTTGATCCACCAGCCAAAAATAAGCCACGCTGAGAAGTCAGTACACTCAGTACGACTCCAACCTGGCCTCTTTGATGCTACCAAGTTAGAGTGGCTTCCTCTGGAGGTTCAGGCTGAGAAGGTTCTGGAAGTCTTCTGGGCTATAGTTATGGCAGTGAACCACACAGTGAACTCTAGCAAACCTCTGTATGGTTTCTTTCTCCCTTTTAGAAAAGCTCATAAACAAGAAATGACAAACTCCAGTAATAATTCAAGTCCCTTGGTTTTGGAATATTAAGTAAATTTTGAAGCTGCTGGGGTTTAGAGTTTTGAGCAATTTATTATTAATATTATTATTTTTACCCTTGGAATAACTTTCAAAGCCTCTAAATGTCCTTCTAAGAAAAAAAGGATTTTAAAAGACATTTGAAAAAGGCTCATTAGTCTTGTTGGACTCCAAACAACTCTCAGAAAACAATAGATTTGATGAACTAAGTGATAATTCTTGGAAACACATGGCATACATTTCCCTTTAAATTTTATGGATTTTTTTAAATCAGGGGAAGAACATCAGGGGGCAAGGCTGCCCATCTTGGGACGTTTGAAATGACTGAGTGTTGTTTGATGAGACTCAAAAAGACCAACATTTGCCTATCCCTCCTGGCCAGAGGGCAGTTCTCCGTCTGCCAGCTGGACGCCACCTAATGGATAACTTCCTGAAGGCTTTCTCTACCTGCTCCTACTCCCTCTGAGACATACTCAGAAATAGAAATTTTAGCGACAACAGAGGTTTGGGGTACATAGTTGCCATCAAGGACTCTCTTCTATTGAGGCTCCTGGTTCAGTAGTGGCTCCCGTGAGGAGGTCAGGATGTTGTTCTTTGGGGATCTTCCAGTTGCTCTTCCAAGATTCCTTCCAAATGCCACCCCCCCTGACCCCCAGGTCACACATGCTAAACCACCTGCTCCATCTAACCCCTCAGGACCGTCTAATTGAAATCAAGCTATTAAAGGCTCATAGTGGGTTTAAAATCTTGCCTAGCACATAGAGAGCACTTATTCCGGGCCAGGCATTGTGCCCAGCACCCTGATCATTTAAATTTCATTCAGCCCTCACGACAGCCCTGTGAGTAGCATAGGCTACTACCATCCCCTTTTAACAGATGGGGAAATTGGAGTACAGAGAGGTTTAGTAAATTGTCAGTCACACGCCATCAGGAGAGGGAAATCCGGCAAACCTGAGAGCATCTGGGAAATCATCCTGATATGCCGGCATTCTGTGATTGATGGTGCAATTATTCCTCCTTCCTTGGGGGAGACAGTGGCGACAATAGCAAGTGACCCAAAGGGAGCACCACACCAAGACTTGAGCAGGCTTGGACTCAGGGCTCAGGCAGGTCAACTCAGCCACCCGCCACCACCTGTGTGCTGAGGATCCACTGGCTTTGCTCTCACTAGTCCAGCCTCCTTAGATACGTATAGCCCCAGAAGAGTTCTTTGTCCTGAGGATCTGGTGATCTCATCCCGGCTTGGGGATGGGAATTCTACCCACTGGCTGGAGAAGTTCCATAAGATCCTTTTAGTGCGACTTCTCTGCTCTTTTGGGCATTGTATCAAAATGCTTGAGATCAGCATGCTATAAATCACACCTTTTGGGCGAGGTCAGATGCTAATCAGACATCTCTGCCAAATCGGGGTTTCACATGTTTTGCGGAAGAAACATCTGGATGGAGCAGGGTGGGGGCAGGAAGGAGCAGATTTTGTTATCCCTATACTTCCTGGTGTGCTGGTCCAGGCTTCAAGAAACTCTTCTAAATAAAGTTTTCCTATAAAAACACTTTCAGGAAGTATTTTATGGATTAAAAAGAAACCACTTCCTCTGAGATTTCCTAAGATATCCTGGAATTTGGTTACTAGCTACCACTTTCCGATGCCTTGAAACCCCTGCACCAGGGAATTAGACAGACTCATGGTGGTGTTATTACTGTGTTGAATAATGATTTCCCAACTCATCCTGCATCTTACTGCCCAGCAGGGCAAACACAGTGGGATAAGTAAACCTTCATAATTATAACTGCTCGCTCCTAAGGGAACTATGCTGAATGTTAACCCTGATCACACCTTGTGGTTTTTCCCAGCACTAGGCACACTGCCTTCTGTCCACTGACCATTTTTTTTTATGGCTGGTGGACTCTAGGCTGGGGATAAATTTGTTTTTTGTCTCTCTGAGTTCACTCCCCCATTGCAAGCAGGATCTTGATCATGGGCCCCCCTTACTCACCCCACTTGGGTCTGGAACACTCAAAGAGGGTCCACACCCTGCTTTTATCAATGGTTGTAGTGGTGAATGACTCCAAATATTTGGAGTCCAATTAGGAAAAAATCAGCCTTACACCTCTGCCCGAGGACAATTTTCTTTACTTCATTCCCCACTAGCTCCCTGGGTGTGACTGTGGTTTAGAAATGCAAGACGTGAAACTGAAGAGCAGGTTTGTAGCAAGCCAGCAGCCCCTACACTTTGCCCACGACGAGCTACCTTAGCTTCCTGGCTTCTGAATCCTCAAAGACTCTCCTATCTTTGTGCTCCCTCGATTATCCTATTCAAATATACTTTCCCACCGCACTATATCCCACTGTGGTCTGACCTGCACAAAAACCCTCTTCCTCCTCATTCGCTCTGCATCAATGCTGATCGTGTTCAGACTTTCTCTTTCCAGAAGCTTTCCTTTATCACCCTCTTCCATTAAGCCAAGTCTCTTCTACACAGGCCAACAGTTGAGAAAGAACTCTGGCAATTTATGCCCTGGCAGCTTGCTGTTCTGAGAAATAAGAGCCATTCTCCCTGGATTGAAAATCAGGGCCACAGTCCCATGTGGCGTGGGCCAATCCCACTATCCACAGGAGAAAGGACATGCCATAGGAGAAAAGTCAGTGTGGCCCGCTGAGGGTTAAAAATAACAGACCTGAGCTCCCAACACACCACTCCCCACTGTCTACCCACTTGTAGACTCCATCTGCATATTCTGGCCCGCCCAACCCCTTAGCCAATCCTGAATGCCAGCAATCTCAGCTCTACCATTTTGTGGGACTTGCTCCCAAGACCTGGCATCAGATGATCCCTGAAGTGAGTGCAGTCCTCGCCCTGGCCTGCCTCATCTGCCACTGTTGCTCCAATGATCTACTCAGATTTTTGACTCAGTTCCCCTGACTCTAGACGTGCACCTAGCATGCTAGGCAGGGATTCTGAGGACCTACTTAGTTCTAGCAAACCCAATTCCTGATGGACAAGCAGGGCCCAATCCAAGATCTGGATTTCTTTAAAGACTGTCCCACATATGACATGCACTAATCATAAGTATTATACTCAATGAATTATCACAAAGTGAATATGCCCATGTTACAACCAGGTCAATAACCAGAACACTAATAGTGCCCCAGAAATATCCCTGGTGTCTCCTCCCAGTCTCTACCCACCCCTTCCCCATAGGAACCACTCTTCTGACTTCCAACACTACAGATTAGTTTTGCATACTTTTGGACTTTGTAGAAATAGAATCATACAATGTGCACTTTTTGAGTGTGTGTGTCCAGCTTTGTTCATACCATGTTGTTGCATGTATGATTCATCCTTGTTACAAGTAGTTTTACAAAACTCATTTTCACTTCACCTCACTCATCTTCATTCATATTACACTGAATGAAAAAATCATAATTTATTTATTCATTCTACATTTTTTTTTTTTTTGCAGGCAAGTATTCGCCCTGGGCTAACATCTGTTGCCAATCTTCCTCTTTTTTTCCCCTTCTTTCCAAAGCCCCAGTGCATGGTTGTACATCCTAGTTATAAGTCCTTCTAATTCTTCTATGTGAACCCCTGCTACAGCATGGCAACTGACAGATGGGTGGTATGGTTCCGCGACTGGGAAACGAACCTGGGCCGCTGAGGTGGAGAGTGTGGAGCTTTAAGCACTAGACCATCAGGGCTGGCTCTATTCATTCTACTCTGATGGACATATGAGTTATTTCCAGTTTTTGGCAAACTTTGGGTTTGGCTGAGACTGATCAAGAGTCGGATGAGAGGGAAGCCCTGCACACTTCATAGTCACTTTGCGCTCCTCCCCAACTTCAGTTCTCTACCCAAAATGGTTAGCCCACTGCTTGCCATATCTCCTGACTATGAGTTCAGATTAAATTTCAAATGCTTTTCTTGTCCTAAAAATGGAAAAAGTCTCATTTCTTGCAAATAAATTTTAAATACATTCACCCATTGTTTTAAATGTTAGGAACTATGTTAGGTGCTTCCTTTGGGGTGGAGGTGCTCTGCCTGCAGGATCTCCTTACCTGCTGCTCCATCTAAGTTAGATGGCCTGAGGCTAAAATAACAGGGAGAGGACCCCTCATGCACTCTTTGATTTCCAGGAGTCTGGTTTGTCTTTCCAATATAGAATGCCAACATTTAGTTCCCAAAACAGAGGACATAATCTGCTCAGGGTGGGGAAAGCAGCAGGAGGGATTAGATATTTCACACCAGGCTCAAGATTAAGGCCATTACACAAATCGGTGGTCGATGATGAATAAGTGAATCAATGAAGCCTTAAAGGTGAAAAGCAGAACAAGACTCTAAGATATGGAGTGAAACTCTGC